ATACTATGAAAATAATAGGTATATATAAAAAATTTGAAAAGAAAGAATTATAAATTAAATATATGAATTTTTAATTTATAATTAATAGAGACAATTTATAATTGATTTTTAAAAGCTTGACTGTTCCCGAGCGGAGTCGCCAAGTTGTCGTAACTGGTTTTCGCCCGGGCACGAATTTTTTACTTGGCGTGAAAAATAATGTGAATAAATGGTTTTGAAAATAATTTGGGAGTCTCCATCGGCCTTTTAGGTCAGGTAGGTCGAATACCTAAAAAATATCTTTTAAAAGAGTTTTTAAGAAAACATCAATTAAAAGATAAATTGATTTGCGTTTAACCAAAAATTCATTCTTTTTATAAATAAAAAAGGATTCGTGGTCGGTTACGTTTAGGAAAGGATTAGCACCCCTACAACGCCCAAAATTGGTACTTTATTAATTATAAATTGTCTCTATTATTAGAAATTTAAAAATTCAAAATATATTTAATCTTATTATTTCAAATTTATTAATATCTTTAATAAAATCTATTAATTTATAAATAAGATATTTATTAAGAAATATCATAAAAGGACTTCTAGGTGCCTTAAGACAGCTCTTTTCTTCGATATTAAATACATATTAATAAAAAATTAATATATTTTTTATAGGGTAAAAAATCAGAAAACGGACTTTTAGGTGCTTTAAGACAGTCCTTTTCTTTAATATTAAATTAAAACATGCTTATAATAAAAAGTATTCTATATTAAATTTATAAATAAGATTTTGAATAAATAATATATATATATATATATATGATTAAGTAATAATAATAAAAATAACTAAAATAACTAAAATATAAAAGAAATTACAATTATAGAATTAAATTGCAAGATATATAAAACTTATGGTCAAAATTATATAAAATTTAATTATTAAATTATAGAATATAAACAATTAATGGCCATAGTTATAAATATTTTGTAGTATATACATTAAAAATGTAATTTAATCCTAAAAAATTAATACGGGACTAAAATAAATTTTAATAAAGTTTAAGGGATTAATTATAATATGTACCTAAATTACTAGTCAGGATTAAAATAAATATTATTGAAAGGGTAAGGACTAAATACGTATTTTACCTTAATTATTTATAAATATTCGATCAGGACTAAATTATAAGAAAATATAATTAAAGGACTAAATCACGACATATAGGAAATGATTTCAGTGACTAAAATGGAATGTTACAAAACTAAGATGGCTACGGAAAGGGTTTGTCCATACGTGTAAATTACGCATATACCCCTTCCCAAAACGACGTCGTTTGGGAAGGGATATATATAGCTCCAAACGGCTAGCCCAAAGGGCCAGCATCCTCATTTCTTCTCTTCTTATTCTCTCTCAAAAATGAGAGAAGAAGAACTCTCTCCATTCTCTCTTAATTTCCCTCACCGGAGGGAAATGATCTCCGGTCGGCCACCGCCAAACCCGCCGCCGGCCACCACATCCGGTGGCCGGAAATTACAAAACCCACCCCAAATTAAAGCTTGGTTTCCCCTAAAGCTAAATCCGGAGGTTTTTTTAGCCTAAAATACTACTGAAATGTGTAGATCTAAAATTTTTTACCTTCGACCTTTGGCTTTCTGACAGCGCAAAGAGGCTCTGATGACCGTTGTTCCCTCGGTAAGTTTCTCTTCTCTCTTTTCCTTGCTGTTTTGGTGATTTGTGGTTGTTGGATTATTTTTTTTTCTTCTTTGTGGCTGTTGGATGTCTCCTTGTTTGCAGGTGGTCGATGGCTTTTATAGCCATCGACGGTGTGGCTCTCGGACCAGTCAATAAGGTGGTTGTTTAGTGAGTCACCAGACTTCCTGTGCTGACTCACTGTAGAGCGACGTGTGCGGTTGGAAGGGCTCTTCTGGAAGCCTTTAGTGGACATCGTGGCAGTAGTATCGGCAACGTGGAGCGGCTGGAAGCAGAGGCACCGCCGCGTGGTCCTAGGGTATCATACCCTAGGGTTTGCATCTGGAACCATCTGGGTCGTTGGATCTAACCTAGATCCAACGGCTGGCAAAGAGAGCGACGGCTGAAGCTGAGATTAAATAATAAATGGGTTTTAGGGTTTCTGTTAGGTTTGGGCCAGTTGGATCTTTTGTAACTGGGCCGGTCCAGTCTGGATTAGGCTTGTAATAATATTTATTAATAATAAAATAATAATAATTATAATTATAATAATAATAATAATATAAATAATATTCAAATGAAAAAATGAGTATCTTCATTAAGGATTTTAGGTTCTTAACCTCGATGATTGTCGTATTCTTGGATTGCCACGATTTTGGAAGTGAGTAAACTAACTTCCTCACAAACTTTTCGTTTGGAATGATTTCTCCATATGATTTGAGACCATTGACAATCGTTGAGAATCTATCCGTCATAGCTTTGATATCTTCATTTGGTTTCATCCTGAAATTTTCATAGCTATGTGTTAGAAGACTAATTTTAGATTATTTTACCTCGTCGGTGCCTTCATGAGTGACTTGTAGTTTATCCCATATTTCTTTGGCGGTTGTATAAGATGAAACTCTTCCATATTCATCTGGTCCATGAGCACAAAATATGATATGGATGGCTTTAGAGTTGAACTGGAATATTCTTGTCTCTCTTACACTCCACAATCTTGGATGGGTGAGAGGCTTGATATATCCGTCTTCTACAACATTCCATGCTCTCATGTCACTTGCTTGAATGAAATACATCATCTTATTCTTCCAATAGGCATAGTTAGTTCCATTGAAGAAATGAGGCTTGTTGACGGGCATCGAATCGAGACCGGAGTCGACATTTGAAGTAGAGGCCATTGATGACTTGATAATCGATGTAGCTCTTCCCGAATCGATTCAATAGGCGATTAAACCTTCAAATGAGTGAGGCTCTGATACTAATTGTTGAGTTAATCGATCGATGGAATTGACCAAGAGGGGGTGAATTGGCGATTAAAATTTTGGTGGAAGCTTTTGCAGAAAATTGAAAAGATTTGCACAACGATTTAGAGTGGTTCGACTTTCTCAACCAAAGTCTACGTCCACTACCTTAGCTATACACACTAAGGATTTTCCAACAAATTCACTAATTTGTTCTTTCTTTTGAGGCCAAAGAGATAACCTTACAACACCCTCAAGAATATACCCTAATTCTTGAGAACACTCTTTCTCAAAGAGAAGATTACAAATTTTTAAACTTACAAGGAAATCCTCACAAGGTAGATTGTTTGCACAATTATAGAACAGAGAAAATAACACTAAAAATGAATACAATTGAGTACAAGTAGTGTTCTTGAAAGCAAAATGAATATTGAATGAAAAATAGGCTTGAAATGCTCAAACTTGAGGTTTGATGCTTTCTCTTTGATTCTCTCTTGATTCTTGTTTCTTGTGTTTTCTTGTTATTGATCAATGGCTTCTAAGCTTGTTTAAATACACCTTCAAATGATTCTGAACGTTGGGGATGATTAGTGGAGTCAATAGAGCCGTTTAAGTGTGAAAACAATTAATAAAATCAGTTGGGAGTGTCAGTGCATCAATGCATACCCAAGGTGCATCAGTGCATCAAGTGTAAAATTCAAATATTTTGACCGTTGGACCCTTAGTGCATCGGTGCACTAAGAGTGCATCGATGCATGAAATGCATTCGATGTTTCAAAATAGCCAGAGTGCATCGATGCATCAAATGCATTCGATGTTTTCATAAAACTCTGAGTGTATCGATGCATGAAATGCATTCGGTGTTCAAAATATTCCATGGTGCATCGATGCATGGATTGGTGCATCGGTGCATCGGTGCATCACTTTGAAAAATTAATTTTAGGCTTGAAATGGTTCAAAATACTTTATGAAAATTGTTTCAAAAATATATTAAGTATAAAACACAATTTTACACATTTAGTAAGGTTTGAAATTGATCTTGAAGACTTGGAGTAATAATTTGATATTCGAGTAATTAAATCGAATATACTTAGAAAATCATTTGTAAAATCTTAAAATTCATTTATACTTAATTTGTTATATCGAAACATCAAAATGTTTTCAACATAATGCCTCTGTAGTAATTTATTTATTTATTCGGGTCTTACGTTTCTGTCTATATGTAGAGATTTTTCACAGGGATTTATTTGCAGGGATTACTATCCATTACAGACGCGCATATGAATGCTGCATATGAAGATTGTTCAACTATGTATTTATTTATACATGCATTGCATTTTATCTTTATTTTCAATTTTGACTGCCAGAGGTCTTCTACGGAAGTTGCTCTCAACCTGGCGTTGGGGGCAACCTACTACCCTCCCTCCCCCTTACCCCATTGCATATGAGGATAGGGTTGTTGTTGTTGTTGTTATATATCACTAACTTTATAGATATAAGAGGCTAAAATACAATTTTATCATTACATTAACTTTTGAACTTAAGATTATCAAGGGCTTAAAGTTAGAAATATACCATTTAGTGGGCCATGGCCCCTCCCCACAGCTCCTCCCTCGAATTGGACAGTTGTACTGGTTTTGAGTTGAGATTTAAAAATCTTTAAATTAGTTTATTTTTTTATCATTTCATATCTCAGATTTATATTATTTATTTTAGTTTTATAATGTTTTGGATTTAACAATTTAACGTTGAGACTCAAAATTTTCAGATCTCAAACATAATTTAGACTCTGATGGTTTTAAATTTGAATTATTTATTTGTTTGAAATTCAAGACATTTTCGAGTTCATGTCAGTTTCAAATTTGGATCAGTTCTAAATTCAAATAGTTGAAAGTTGAAATCAAGTCTCAACAAATATGAATTCCATCGAAGAAAATATAATAAGAGGTCATTTCTTATTTGAATATATGATTAGAGAGCATGAATCATGTGTCAAATGCCGGAAAGCAACAAGAAAATCCTACGTGTATAACAAACATGATTATATTTAAGACGATGAGAATGATACATCCATGATAATAGAGGTCATCCCTTAAACAGAAATGCGAGGAGCCACTCCATATAAGCACACAATCGCTCTTCATATCACAAACACATGCATATACAATGACCAAATGAAGCTCAAACCAAAACAACAATATTTCTCAGCTTGCCTATCTTATTTCTTCATCCGCTTTTGAACATGATCGGGTTCCGCTCCGTTGATCGCATCTCTAAGATGGGTCATTGCTTGAATGGGGTGATTCTGTGGATCCTGTCAAAATATCGAAAACGAGAGTTGTTGCGTATTTTGACTTGATTTCGTTAACATAGTCAGAAGAACATGGAACAATAAACCCCGTAATAAGATCAACCAAGAAGAGGTGATCAATATCTTTCTTTGTCTCAGCCATACCTTAGCAGAAGTTCCTGACGCTAGTTCTCTATTAGCATGCTTTCTGAGATCGATCTGCACTGAGATGTTGGCCTCTGACAGATCCAAACCCGCACTCTGCAGTGCTTGCGTCAGAGAGTTCAATAACCTGCTCAACATCAGAACAGAATCCATAAACACATTATCAAACTATAGCTCAGACTTCAGAGCATCCTAAACCCGAAGGGGTTTCGTATTAGCCGGAAAGTATTTTATCCGGTCAATGAACTGGTAACTGATGTAAAAGTTTGCTAGTAATTGATGTGCATATATATTGAGGATAAAAAAGGAAAGAAGATAAGCCCACCCTTCAGAATAGACACTTGAGATGCTAATTGTTCCTCCTTCAATAGTTAGATCTTCATGCTGATTCACAGTATCATTGCTAATAAAACACTCGGTCGGTTGAGCCTCAGAGACTGGTCTCTGGAGGGGATGCACAGGCATGTTATTACCTTGGACGGGCAGAGGCATTCCCCTGCTTGCAAACTCAGGTTGCTGATCCATAGCTTTGGACGTAGTGTCTCTAACAGGATCAGATTCTAGTGGATTTTGCTCACTTGTGGTTATTGTAGGGTTCATATTGCTGTTAATCTCATCAAACTTTCCAGCAAATGCTGACCCCGGTCCAGAACCATTTTTAATAGCTTGTTGTTGGCCAACAAAGCTCTGAACGTGCCAGTGGCTATTTCTCTACAATGAAATACAGAAAATCTTTAATGCCGAGTAACTTAAGAACACGACTTAACAGTTAACACCTTGAAAGCAAGTAGAATCCTATTCCCAAGATCATATGGATACAAAAAAAATCCAGTAATAAGCTAAACCCCATGGTGGGAAAGAATACAGGAACATACCCATGGCACCAATTTTATCGGCTCAGAATTCCATTCTTGGTATGAACCCTCGTACTTTTTAACCTTGTCCTGTAAATCTTGGACATACTCAATCACCTGCAAAAGAACATTGATCCCATATTAACAAAATTTTCAAGCAGAAATTTCTTAAATAAGTAGGTAAAGCAGAATTGATGTATATGAAAGTTTTCAATTTGCCGATTCATAACCTACCTCTAGAAGGAAAGAAGCTGTATCTCTCTTTTGATCGGGGTTCGGAATTAGATTTCTCAATAATTGAAACCTAAAAGCATAAATTTTTTTATCAGTATTATTATTCAGTTCACATACAACAAGCACTTAATTCAAAGCTAGCAAAGGAATAAGCAAACGCTCTTCCACCATCATATCTCACCATCACATAACCATTAGCATCTTAACTTCTGGTGTCGTTTCAAGTCAAAACATTATATAAACCAAAATAAACCATTCTTGTAAACCGCTTCTTAACACAATCGAACAGGTTTCGAAAATGGTAGGATGGCAATGGATAGTGCAGATTCAAATATCGGCTAATATACTATCCGTATTTTGCGGTTTCAGATGATTTATACAGATAGTAAATTTATAAAATTTACCATGCTAGAGTGCGAACTTATAAAATTTTAAAGACGATTATACGAGAATTTAAAATTTTTTAAGGGCGACCATCTGTCCATCCATGGATAAAAGCTCAAAACTCTGGAAGACTCAGACTATCCCAATCCAAGACGTTGAAACTGGAAGAAATGGAAAATAATACACCTTTCATTAATCTTACTCCTCCTCCTCTGCTCCGTAACCGAGTGTTTCGACCGTATAGCGTTAGCCTTATCCCTGTTCTTCCCATCTGTTTTCAGATAAAAAAATGTGTATATAAAGCAAACCCAAGGCAGTAAATCAAGGGGGAATACCCAGAGTTCCAAATTCAACAAAATACGGGAGAAAAAAAACCCCATTGAGAAACAAGCATCAATCATCTAGAAATAAAGTGATAAAATAAAGAAGAAAGGGAAAGAGGGGATCTGGAGGGGTAGAGAGTGGATCCAATCGAATATACCGCTGTTGGTGCTGTTGTTAATGGCGTTTAAAGACATCGTTTGATTAGAAGATGTCTCTTGTTTTCTGGAACCAAACTCTTCTTCCTCGTACTGTTCTTCCTCTTGACTTCCCTTCCCTGTTCTCATATGTGTTACTTCTTCAGATATCGAAAACAAACAAAGATTACTATGAAAAAAAACCCCGAAATGTGGAGCTTGAAAAAGAATGAAGCTTGATGGATAAAGGAAGGAATTGGAGAGAAAGTGGGAAGGAAAAAAATGGTGTTTTCTTGGTTGGTTGATTTGTTCCCGGCGAGAGCAGCAGTGCAGGTGATGTGGGTGTGTTCATGGATGACCCGTGAGGTTTATTTCAATTGAGCATAAAATGTTGGGGTAAATTACAAATTTCATCACTAGCTTTATTATAACTCTTCGGGAAAGAAGCATAATTGGTGAAAAAACACCATAAGCCCCTCTAAATTTCGAAAATGATTAACGTTGTCCCTCTCAATTCTGATAAAAGTACATGATAAATCTTTCGAAAATTATTTTTTTTAAAATGAGCATATTAATAACTTGCATGAATCCTGAACATAATAGCTTTAAATTTGCGTCAACAATCAAATACATTTGAATAGGATCTTTACTACTAATAACAGAAAAGTACAAACATCTCCATAAAAATTCTTCACTCACCAGAAACATGAAATGTAACAACACTTGACCTAAATTTATCATTTTTTTATGTTGGAATCCAAAAATGTAAAATGAGAAACGAGAGAGATTTATAGTAATCCACAGTTTTCCAGTATTATACAACACCTATATTCCTGTCATGGTGACTTGTTTACAGTTTGTTCTAGAGGTTCGTGTGATGTCATCTTGGTCCAGAGAGCTCCACTGCAGGGACCAACACTGATATTGAATGCATAAAAGAGCTCCATTTCTGGTTGTCTTTGTCTCCACCAAAGCCAAGACCAAGCAGGCAATGGCTAAAGCAATCTTATGGCTCTTGAGCCTACCAGAAGCTTTTTGAGTCAAAAAAAGAAGAGATATATGATGTCAGATTGATAGAAATATAAAACAACGGGAATGGAATTCATAGGTGCAACTTTCTCAACACGTGTCAAGAATCCTACAATATGAGAGATCCTGTTGAATCCTACAATCTCGTGCCTACGCGCAAAAGGAAGACTTGTGACTTTCATATTAATTTATTACTAAATTAGTTTTATCTTACCAAGACTTTTTAAACCTATTCGTTTTTCACGTGGGATGAACGTATTTTAAGATAGGGTAAACTACACCAATTTAAACTCTTTTAGTATTTAATTTTTTTTTAATTTTTAATTTTAGTTTTATTTTATTTTAGTGCTCTCACAGTTTAAAACTTAATGTATTTAGTACTTAAATTATCAGTTTTAATTCGTTTTAGTACCTAAGCTTAAAAAAAATTCAAAATTTAACATTAAATTTTAAATAAGTATTAAAATGAAACAAAAACTAAATTTTAGTTATAGTTTCAAAAAAAATTAAAAGTTTTGATACTAAAATAGATCAAAACTGATAATTTAAATACTAAATATGTAATTTAACCTTTAAGATATAATTTTTTTTCTCAACACCATTTACATGCATCTTATTATAAGCATCAATTTCTTATTCATTATTTATTTATCATGAGCATATTATTTACTGTTTTAAGGTCTAATGAAGAATATAAAATTATAATTTTATTATTCAAAATTATAATTTTAACAATAAATAATAGGGTAAGCCACACCGAAGTTTGAGAGTTTTCGTTTTTACTACTGAAGTTTTAAAAGTAACAAATCAGTCACTAGCATTATCTATTTATAATAAATTGGTCACTCTCCGTTAATAACCATTAATGGAGGTGTCACAACCGTCCTTTGAGTGGGCCCAGAATTAGGCTTCGACTTAAATAAACATGTTAGAGCCGCCACCGATCATTATTTTTTTAAAAATTAAAAAATTAGGTTGACCGGATTCCTCGGTTTATTTCTCTTACCTAATCCGTGTCTTACCATAAATATGTCGGATTCGGGAGTCGGTTACAGTTAAGGAATGATTAGCACCCTTAAACTGCCATTTCGGTACCATTTTAATTTATCAGTTGTCGTAATTACGAAAATTTAAATTAGATTTTAAGATTTGGTTCGAATTACTTACCTCTGGTCGATAAAAAATGACTCTATAAAAAAGTGTCAAAACTGAAGTTACTAAAAAAGGTAACATGAGGGTTAGAATAAAAAAAAAATAAAAATTAAATTAAATTAAATTAAATAAAAGTTAAATTAAAAGAAATAAGATAACATTCAAATTAAAAGGATTTTACTGCAAAGAATTTAAAATTCAAGACCAAATTGATATTATTTGAAAGTTGTAAGAAATAATATAAAGTTAGGAGGGGTTAATTTGTAAAATATAAAAACATTAAACAGGGATTAAATCGAAACAATTTGAAATTTAGGGGCAAAATTACAACAGATGATCAAAATGAATTACACTTCAAACTTATAATTTCAAACCTCTAACAGACAAATAAAATAATTAATACCTGAATAAAATAAAAAATAAAAAAATATTAATAATATAAAAAATTTGAAAGAAAAGAATTAAAAATTAAATATATGAATTTTTAATTTCCAACTTATAGAGACAATTTACAATTGATTTTAAAGTTTGACCTTCCCCAGCGGAGTCGCCATGCTGTCGTAACCGGTTTTCGTCCGGGCACGAAATATTTATTTGGCGGGAAAAGTGATGTGAATAAATGGTTTTTTAAAATAATTTGGGAGTCGCCATCGGCCTTTTGGGTCAGGTAGGTCGAATACAAAAAAAAATATCTTTTAAAAGAGTATTTAAGAAAACATCAGTTAAAAGATAAACTGATCTGCGTTTTAACCAAAAATTCATTCTTTTTAATGATAAAAAGGGATTCGTGGTCGGTTACGTTTAGGGAAGGATTAGCACCCCTACAACGCCCAAAATTGGTACTTTTTAATTATAAATTGTCTCTATTATTAAAAATTCAAAATATATTTAATTTATAATCCTATTTAATTCAAATATTTTTTAAAATATATCAAACATAAACAAGATATTTACTTATTTAGAAATATCATAAAATGACTTCTAGGTGCCTTAAGACAGCTCTTTTCTTCGATATTAATAAATATTATAATAATAAAATTAAATTATAATTTTTTTATCATAATATTTAATTTTAAAATACCAGAATAGGACATCCAGTTGTATTAAGACTGCTCTTTTCTTTGATATTGAAAAATAAATATTAAAATATGATAAAAACATAATTTATGTAAAATCAAATTAAGATTTAATATAATTTATTATATATATTTATATGACTATATAATAATAAAAAATATTTAAATATAAACAAGTAAAATTAAAACATAAATAAACAATAATAAAAATAAAATTAGAACTATATATTTAAAAGCAGTAAAACTTTATAATAAATGAAAATATTTAAAAATAGTGACTAAATTATAATCTAATAAAATTAAATACCTAATTCGTAATTAATTAAAAAATACAGGGATTAAACATGCTATTTTTCTTATTTATTAATTTGGTGACTAAAATAAAATTATATAAAATTCGAATATCAAATTAAAAATATATACTTTGGGATTAAAATATTAATTATTAAAATTAAAGGACTAAATATGATATTTATCCTAAATATATTATTTTAATATAAAGGACTAAAATAAATAAAATTAAAATTAAAGAACCGAATTAAAAGGATTATAAATTGATTTAGTGACTAAAATGTAAGGATTACAAATTAGGAGGGCTGCGGAAAGGGTTTAACTTTTAGTTAATTACAGACAGACCCCTCCCCAAAACGGCGTCGTTTGGGGAGGGCTATTTAAGTCCCATAATCGGCTGGCCCGAAGGGCCAGCTCTCATTTCTCCTCTTCGCTCTCTCTCTCTTCTTTGAGAGAGTCTTAAAAGCTCTCTCGCTTCTCTCTAAAACAGAGAGAAGCACCGGCCGGTAGCCGTTCGCCGGCGTTAACCCCATCGCCGGCCACCGCATTCGGTGGCCGGAAAATTTTTTTTTACACTTAAATGTAGATCGGACCATCCTATTGATGGTTCCGATGACCGTTTCCCTTAAAACATTCCCGATCGGAGCAAATCTACGAAAATACCTTCGGTTTTCGAAGGTTTCCGACGACGTGTGAAGGCTCCGGTGATGTTGCAGCTTCCTCAGTAAGTATCTCTCCGTCTTCTCCTTGCTTATTTTGATGTTTGTGGTTGCTGGTTTGCTCGCTCTTTTCTTTCCTTGTTATTTTTTTTCTTTTTTTTTTCTCTGTTGGTTGCCGTTGTCTTCTTTGCAGGTTCGGTGATGGCTTTATAGCCATCACCGGCGCTTGTCTCGGACTGGGTAAAAGAGGGGAGTCTGGTGAGTCACCGGACTTCCAATGGTGACTCACCGTTGGGGCGATATGTGTGCGGCTGGAGTGGCTCTTTTGGAAGCCTTCGACGAGACGTGGCAGCGGTGGAGATGGTGGGAGTTGCTGCGGCGGCTGCGTGGTCCCTAGGTTATCATTACACTAGGGTTTGTTCGGGATAAATGTGGGCCGTTGGATCTCTCAGATCCCACGGCTGAGATTGAGGCGACGGCTAGAGCTAGGGTTTAAAAACCCTAGCTAAAACCCTAAATGTTTAGGGTTTTCTTTTGGGTCTGGGCCGGTTCTGGTTGGGCCTGGGATTTGGGCTTGTAATAATAATAATATTAATAATAAATAATAATATTAATAATAATAATAATATAAATAATATTTAAATGAAAAAAAAGTATCTTCAGGTGCAATCTCGATTTAGTTGGGGCTCCTTTGCATGGCCGATTTTCGGCGCTTTTCTCATATTCGGTCGTTTCGTTGGTATGTGGTCGTTGTTTAGCCGGTGGGTTTCTTTCGAGTTTCTCGATCTGTCGTTGGATCATTTTGACCAAATCCAACTAGGGTTGAAACTCTAACTATCTTAAATTTGGGCCGTTGATCTATCCTTGATCTAACAGCTATGAACCATGTGGCGCCCTTTGTTAAGTGTAAAACCCTAACCCATTGGATTTGCTTGTTGACTTGGGCTTCTAAGTTTGCTTGCTGGGTCAGGCTGATATTACCCGATTGGGCCTCATTTTGGACGCAAATGGACTCTTTGTTGGACTTGGACTTGGACCTAAACCAACATAAAAATAAAAATAAACAAACAAATAAATAAATAATAAGTATATTATAAAATATATTATATATATTTCGAAAAACGTTTTCAAAATCT